ATACTATGTAGCTACCTACCAAGGTAGAGAGTCGAGCTGGTATTGCAGTACTTTGAGCGCATTTGGCATCTCGTCTTCATGTTTATCCCATTCAACGTTGTCAATGATCAAGGGGCCTGTGGTCTACTTAGAGGTACCTCTAGATAATCTGACATGGAGTGAAAGATGAGATTGAACTTAACAAGACTGAAAAGACACGAAGATGGGATCACCCCAGCTGTTAAAGTGCCGGTGGCGTTTGCCCCTTCATATTAACACTCACTCATATTTGCCTGTGCCACTCGAAGGAAACTTGAGTATTTACCCCGTGTCTTGGGTCGGATATATCTTGGTGTTTGGTGAGTGAGAAGAGGGCTGGAAGTGGGTTTGTGAAGCCTGGCGAGATGAGATGGTCGGTCTGTGGCATGGAAGGGAGGGGGTGGTGTATGTGATCAAAGTGATGTTGAGAGATGCTCCGTCATGCTTGGAGGTATCCTTATCATATGTTTTTTTGGAATGTTAGAAATGATGAGAAAAGCTAACACAGCAGGTGGAAAAGTATCTGACGCCAGCTACTTCGAAGTATATGTCGCAAGCCTCCCACATTCCCGTAATTCTCGTGTGTCCTGGCACATGCATCCTGTTACGGTATACACTCCTCACCAAGCATATAGTAATACACTCACTCACCAAGCATACCACCATTCTTCTACGCTTTCGTGGTCGCTTACTCCATTAAACTGAAGCACAGTAACCATCACGATTAAACGAAAGAACAGAAAAGAGTAAAGAGAGAAACGAAGCCCAGCCCAGCCCAGCCCCAGGCATCTGCCGTGTCCGCCTGTGGTGAGACGGTGAACCGAGAAAAAAGAGGCAAGGCGTTCGAGTCTCGTGTGTCTTGTGGCTTGTGTCTCGTGCCTTTTGTGTAACCATTCACGAAAACGTTCCAAACCGTCTCCAATGGGTCACAAAGGCGTCGTTCCTGTCGTGCCTGTCGTCCTCCATTCGGGATTGCCCCGGCTCCCGAAAAGGCGGTCGGTGGTTTTTGGCTGGGGATGCCCGGATGTGCACTTGTCCTGTGGTTGTCGTGCCGCACACGGGTGTGACACACAGAGACGAGGGGACGTCGTCGATGGGGGTGTACGGCTGCGTCAACAGTCGTAACTTGGGTAACAACTGGAGGTGTGTCATGTGCCTCTTGTGCCTTGTTGTGTACCATACACTACTTTCAGACTTGGTACGCTAGAACAGTATCGACAGGAGTTTGAGAATGGAAAGCTTCCAGAAGACAACAAGAAGATTGGGGCCGCAGATCTGGTCTGTTTCAAATGTATTGCTGCTGACTGGAAACAACCGATTTCAGTTCAAGCCAGCTGAACTTTAGACTTGGTGGATGGCTATCAAACCTACTACGATCGCCCTCCCCGACCCCGTTCTTCGGAAATTTTAAGGTTATTTGATCGTCACTTGGCCTTTGTAGGTGTATGAAGTAAATGAGGTTAACCTTGGCGACCCCTGATCACCACCAACTGACTTTGTGGCCAGGGCGGGATGCAAGGGAGAATCCTGAGAAATCACGAAATATTTCGGATTGATAGTAAAGAGTGATGGTGATTGATGCATGAAAACCTCGTCGTGCCGTCCTCGTGGTGTTGCCTTGGCGAGCGGATGACTTTGTTGTTTTGTCATTGTTAGGATTGTTCACCGTTGTCATGGCACAGTGTGGTCGACGACGTGATGCAACGGCGCGGCGCTGTGGGCAACCGAGTCGGGACGCGCCAATTCCCGCTGAGGCGTTTGGTTGCTTTTGTGACGTCGTTGCACAATGTTCCGTTCGGATTGAGTTATCACGGACACGGTGACGGCCGGTTCGGCAGAGAGAACTGAAATGTAGGATGATTGCATTTCCGTTTGCCGGGCGGCTTGGAGATTTGAAGGTTTGGTTGGAAGACAAAAATGAATGAGGGGGGTTCGAAACAAGCGATGGAATTCATCTATTCCCGTCTTCGTTTGGATGGTTATTGGGGACGTGGTTTGGGTATCCTTGTGATGCTGACCCTTTTCGGCACCGAACCGGGTACAATTTCGAAGATGCCCATAGTGAGGACAGCAGATTGGCTATCCGTCGTGCGAAAGGAAGGAGTGTCCGGAGAGTTTAGGTTTGCAATTCAGAAGAAGGAAAGAGGAAATGACCCCACACATAGCGTTAAAAGTGGAGCCAGTCCGAGTCGAAGCAGGGTCTCCACTTCCTGTTTTGGCGGGATGAACGTGGTGGTGGCCCGTGCTTGAGCGGTAATTGAACAATCCTCTTGGCGCTTCTGTCTCGTCAAGTCGTCAGTCTCTCTCGCCTGTTTCGTTCCCGTCAACCACGCAACAGCAAAAGACGGGATCAGGCGAAATGAGACGACAGCCAGCCCACGACATTGCTTATTATCCTCGTTACGATTTCCTACAGCTGGCCATCACAACACCGATTATTGATGACCCGAATTTACCAATGAAAAGGACCAATGCGACTGCGCATCGGCTATTCCCGAAGAGGGGACCACGGCGGACAAGGACCAACCATTGACCAGGAAAGCCTGCGATTGGAAACCTAGGGGGAGATTCGATCGACGCATTGAATGGAGACACTGTTGTGAAGGAAGGACCCAATGAGTGTTGGACATATCGTACCTTCCGCATTCTGCAGTGTTGCCCTCTGTCGTCAGCTTCTGATTTGCAACCTGTTGAGTCTCTATCAAGGAACCCGGTCTTCCCGTTCCCCAGAAAACATCATGCTGCAGTCCCAAGACTTTCTATCACACAATGCTCAACCAGTCACTCTGCGTCACCAGTCTCATATATCAGGTTGCTGTGCATAGTTACACCCAAACTAATAGGTCGATCTTTTTTCTCTCTTCTTTTCTGGAGACTCGGGCAATCCCCAAATCCGCTGTTGTTAACTCAAGTATTCCCATTCAATATCTTGAACCGGAACTCTGCAACCATAACAAGAGGCTCAGCAACACGCACACACACACACACACACAATCTAACCACAACACCATCTCCCTCCAACACAATCAATCAATCTCGCACATGGTCCACATGGTCGACAGGGTCTGCTACCACACACTGTAGCATGAACTGAGCCCTGGCGAGATTAGCCGTGCATGGACCCGACCCAATCTCTGCGACTCCCAGCCACAGATTCCGCCCATGAAGCACGATTTCAACACCCATACCGTGACCCCTGGACCATCTGAAGCTACCCCATTGTCCCCATTTCGATAGCCTTGGCTTCCAGACAACCCCCTGCGCTGCCCGTCCTGCCTCAGCCCTCAACAACCGTCCTTCCTGGGACCACAGGCCAAACCGTCTTCGATCTTCACCCCCCAGCTCATCAACCTCGCTCTCGGTCCCCAGCCCAGCTGTATACACACCAAGCCTATCTAGGAACCTGCACTGTTCCCCTCGCGAACTGACGAACGAGAGGCCTGGAGAAGCGACGAGTCCCAGGATCTGACGAGACTGGGGCGGCTTGAAATAGGGCAAGGGCCCTGCCTTCTTTTTCTTTTCCCAAGATCTGGGAACCCTGATTTCTCTTGATATGGATTTTGTCGCCGACATTGTGGATAGTATTGACGACTTTTTACAACATATTCTGGGGTACTACCGGGATCCATAGTGCTGCTGTGTCATCGAATGTGTGTTGGCATTCTCAGCCTTTTTTTTTTTTCTTGCCAGCTTGGTACAACTGGAACTAGCACGACATCCAACACTGCCAACAAAAACCTCCCGCGGTCCCATCCAGACCACAGCAATAAACCTCACAATCCCCTCTGTCTTCGCCACGGCGGCTCCAGTCCCTGATCTCCTCGCTTGTCTCGTCGAATCTCTGGCTCTTGGTCGAACTTCGAAACACGTGCGTCGAGTTTCAGAAACCCGAATCTTCGTTGTCGCATCTATACACCTTTAAGCGCCGTCCACTAAGATTGCTTCCCCAGCTTCGACTCTGAAGCAGTGCGGCGCTTCCGCACCAGTCTCAGCATTCTGATTGGCTCACCCCTTCCACCCCTTCCTCAATAGCGACATCAACAACATTGATCAATACTACCTTCTATCTGCTTCAGAAGCTTCCAACGAAACGCAGCCGCCCGCCATTCAAAGCGAAACTGAAGTTATATTGCCAGTTGCCCCTTCGTCTAGACCTGTCCGCTTAAGGTGTGGACGAGTCGACTCTAGAAATTCCGGCATGGACCCAACAACAACCCTCTTTACCTTTATGTTGTGAGTTCTTCGAACTTGTGTTAATCTTTTTTCACTATTTTTTCTTCTATCTTTCCTTCACTTCGCTTGCGAGACTGCCGTGCGGTCATTCATTCGTTCCCCCATCGTTTGTTTTTGCACCTAATTCGGCTACACCCTCTCGCTTTTTCGGCAAAAGACCCGACTCATACTGTACGTCTGGAGATGTTCCACTTCCCAGTTTTTCTTTTTGGGTTTGGAGATGGTGCCAGCAAGTGTGGAGAGAAAAAAATCGGATTCCCATGCCCGATCCGATGAGAGCTGAGGATTACGGCATCCATCGATCAAAATCCCATCGATCACCACGCGAGGCCGGGGTCCAAGCGAGCGAGCCTGGGCGCGCTGGGAATCTCTCGCAGGTCAGCCTCTACGCAGCAGATCGCCCGCGCAGCAATTTTACCGAACGAAAAAAGTCTGACGGTGATTGCGCTCGTGGTCTCTTGCCTGACCTGACCCAGCTCCAGGGAAGCCATCATTATTGGCCAATTCCCGTAATGACCCTTCGCAACCCTTGGCGTGGTATTGGGAATATTGCAGCCTACCTTGGCCCTCGGAGACTTTGGTGGCTGAGGATCCTTGCTCTCATCCACTTTCACTCCTCTCATGCCCCAGCCTTATGATCTGCGCCTACATTTGCAGAGGAAACTAACACGATATATAGACGGACTCACCCCTCGGTCAAGGCTGTTCACCTGGTTGGTTCTTGGGACAACTTCGGTAAACCTTACACAATGGAGCGTGACATCAGACGAGACAGAGGCCAGTGGAAGGGATGTTACACCTTCAAGGACATCATCTGCGATGGTGACTCTGGCCGGACCACAAAGCGGAACGGTGGCTTGAAGATGGGCCAGACATATTACTTTTATGTGAGTCTTTTTTCTCCCAGAGATACGTCCGTCGGACCCTGTCACTAACCGAGACCTCCAGTACGAGCTAGATGGCGCGGCTGAGACACATGATCCTGCTCTTCCCTCAACAAATAACTGCCCATATCTCCCCGGCCAGACTGTCAACACTCTCTACGTTCCTGTCGAGCATACCCTCAGGAACCGCAGCGCATCCACCAACTCCCTCCGCGAGGAAAACTACATGACCATGAACCCAAACGACAGGTACAGCACGCCGCAACCGGCAGTCGTCTCATTGATGAACGCCGCTTCCCGTGCCGCTACCGCCCCTCTACCTGAACTCAAGCGCTCTGCCAGGTCCAACTCACCTGGTTCCAGTTGGTTCTCGCCACGCCGGTTGTTCGGTCGCAAGCAAAGCTCTTCCTCCCTGCCCGAGATCAGGGCACCAACACCTACCGATGATACTCGGAGTATCAGGTCATCCGGGTCGAGCAAGTCCAGGGACATGTCGCCCGAGTCGCTTCGCCGGTTCCTGTCTGATGATGTACTACCTGAAGAGGAGTACCAGACAGTGGATCGTCCAGCCATCACCATCCCCGATGACATCGCCGAGGAGAACGAAGATGACGATATGTTTGCCACATCTGCCGTGTCGGAATACATGCAGTTCACTGGCCTCTCTCCTCCACCATCTCAACGCTCCCTCACTCCCTCTCCCCCTGTCGAATCCGATGAGGCTCCTACACCTACTCTTGCCGCTACGGTGCCCTGCCTCAATCTTTCGGTCCCCACGCTGTCTCTCGTTGACACCAGCTCACCTCAATCCCCGGCCAATTCGCCTCCGGCTTTCTACCACTCTGACGACGACGAGGATGAGACTCCCGAGGATGACCTCCTCCCTCTTCCCATGCTCGACTACAGCACAGCCCGCAAGGCTTCTGCCGGCTCAGTCAGAAGCACCCTCTCCACCTACAGCCTTCCCCAATCTTCTCCCCAGGAAGAGAAGTCAAAGTCCTCTCTCATGGTCCCCAGGATCGAGACCAACATTCCTGTCTCTCATACATCTTTCCTTAACAGCCCTACTCCCAACTCGGGTCTGGAAGAGTTGATGAACGAGTTGGGTTGGATGGCTGATGCCATTCGTGGTTAAGCTCCACAACAACATTCGACCGATCGTTATACACACAAATTACTACACCTAATACTTTTCTCAACAATCACTCAACAATCTCAATCTATTTAGCATTTTCGGCGGGCATTCAAAATGGGCTATCATACTACACTACTTTACACTATCGCTTAGAAAGCAGAAGGGTGTAGAAAAGGCATAGAGCAAAGGCGACAGCAAGGCGGCAAGATTTGATTCTATTGTTTATCTCTTTTGTCTTTGGGTTTCTTTTGTCGGATGGGCGGCGGCTGGTGGGGAATTCTTTTTTTTTTTTTTTTGGGGTTATCTTAATCGAAATGGATCGGTGGGAGGATGTAGCTGTGTTTTTGGGAGTTATATCGGGGAGTCACCACACCTGGTTGGGTTGGGCGAACGGGCGGGACATAATGGGATGGGCGATGCATAAGATGCGTCGGATTCGCGCAGTCATGAATGAAGTGGGACGAAGGATGAAAGAACAAGGAACCTAACTGGGAGGAACTGGGAGGGATTGCAAACTTGACACAAGTAAAAAAAGAATACTATCGTTTGCCAAGGAACAAAAACATGACGCTCAACCTTTAAAAACTTTCGTGAAGCGTGAAACGTGAACTGTCTGCCCTCCTTGCCATTGTCGTCGAAGGTCCACTTATTTGTACCAAATGGTCGTAAAGATAAATCGAATACAACATGGTCAGTACATTACATCTTGGGTATGCTCTTTTCACGCATCTAAGCGTGCTTGATACGCCTTTGAAGATAGGTTTTAGGTCTAGGCAGTTTCTGAATGGTTCCAATCTCCAAAGGACTCTCTGCTCGATGTGTTTCCAAGCTGCTGAGATCCCTATCACAGTTTTGTAAGTGGGCGTTTTTTGACCTTGGCCAAAGCGAAGCGTATTGGACTGTCTGGGCCTCAGATATCCAACATCTTTTTCTCAGCCTTTCACACATGTTGTTATTCGGAATTCTTTTTACGAAATTGTTCACAACACGGCACAGTGGAGAGAAAATTGATACGAAAACATGAATGATTCTTGTCTAACTTTTGTTTACCTAGCCTAAGCCCCTTTTTGGGTTTGACGAATGAGAAATTGCGAAGGAGAAAACATGATCAGTTAGGATGAATAAGCCAATCGGAACTCCTAACCAAATCAACCAACCAACAACACCAATAAAACCAGTAACTCCAAACAAATCAATAACTCCAACACAAATGCAGTCTATCTATCTATCTCTCACATCTCTTCTCCTTTTCTTTCTTCTTCTTTCTCCTTTCCTTCCTTCTCATTTCCTTTCTCATGCATACAACTTCCTTCCCACACAATTTCTTACCTCTAGACAGCTATAATCCTAAGAAGCACTAACCTCACTAAACCAACTCCTCAACAGTCCCGCCAGCGCGCCCGGTAGATCATCCAAATGATGAACAATCAAATAATACGGGAACGGGAAGCTATCCAAATACCGATGAATAACCGGCACCCCATCGCTCCCAAACCTAGCCTCCTTGAGATCCAACACCGACTGGCTTCCCTTCTTGGCATTACCCTGCGCATCGCGCGCGTCGTCCATGACGATGAACACCACCATCACGCGCTGCTCCATCGCTTCTCTTAGCAAGGGGCGCAGGCGCGCGTGATCTTTGCTCTGGACGAGACCGTCTGACAGGATGAGGGCAAGTTGCCAGAGGTCTTCACCGCCTTGGGACGCCGAGGTGAGGCGGGCGTCGCGGAAGTGGTCGATTGTGCGACGCAGGAGGTTCACCATGTCGGTACCCTCCTGCTTGAAGGTGAACTGCTGGAGGACCTTGGCGCCGGCGTCGTGGCTGGCAAAGGGGTCGGTGAGCTTGTGAGCGACGAAGACGTCGGTGCCGAATCCCAGGACGCCGACTTGGCCTACTTCTAGCATTGTGAGTGCACGGGAAGTCATGACGAGCGACTCGAGCGCCAAGCGGCCGGCGGAACCGGAGTTGTTGAGACTGTCGCCCATGGACTGGGAGTCATCGACGCAGAGCAAGATCTGGTAGGAACGCTTGGTGGGGATCGCGCGGCGCATCCAGATCTTGTCGCGCTTGTAGGAGGAGGCGATGTAGGGGATGATTTTCTTAATGTTGAGGCGCTTGCCGGTGCGGAAGGAGCCGGAGAGCTTGGTGGATTGGGAAGGGGTGAGGATCAGGCGGAGTTGAGACGACAAGGACATGGAGAGGGATTGGGTCTTGGTCTGGAAGGTGGTCCACATGGAGAGGGCCTCGTTGAAGTCGCGCTGGGGACGGGGTGGTTGGTCTTCGAGGTGGATGTGGGAGAGCTGGGTGGAGGATTCTTCGTTGATCTCCTCGTCCAAGTTGTCACCTTCCTTGGCGCTGGCCTTGCGGGCGTCTTCGTCTTCGGAGTCCGAGTCGTCCATGGCGCCTTGGTGCGTGGCGACGCCGGAGCGACCGTCTTTGCCGTCCTCCTTGGGAGCGTCGGGGACCTCGACATCTTCCATGTCCACGTCCTCGTCCTGCTTGTTGGTGTTATCCTCGGCGGCGGGCTCATCCTCGGGTAAGACGTGGTTGTTGGCATCTTCCATCTCAGTGTCGATGGCCATGGCGTCGTCCATGGGACGGACCTCCTCGTCGTTGGCGGTACCCATAGCCTGAGTGTCAGGCTCAGCATCTTCATCCTGCAAGTGCTGGAACTCAACCTTGGCCATGTCGACGTCCGGCTTCTGCTGCTCTTCCTTGTTCTCGGGAGCGTTGCGAATGTCGCGCTGGTTTCTGTACCACCTGTCGAGAGCATCGCCGAGCTTCTTGAAGGGCTGGCTGCTGGCCTCGGTTTCTTGATCTTCATTGGGGCCCTCCTGCTGCTCAGTCCTGGACTGCTCACCCTTGGAACCAGGGGCGTTGTCTTGGTCAGAGGACTGGTTGTTGACAGCACCTTGCTCGCGCTGAGCGGCCTTGTTGTCAGCGGTGTCGTCCTGCATGTCGTTCTGGTCATCTTGAGCCTGACCACCACCAGTCTTGACATCGCTGGGAGCAGCGTTGTCGTCATCCGCCTGCGCTTGGTCATCATTCAGACCGGGTTGTTCCTTCTCCTTGTCCTCTTCCTCCTTGTCCAAGTCCTGCGGGGCGTCTTCATCTTGCTCCTCCTCCTTGTCCATGTCCACATCCATGTTATCCTCATCCATAGGATTCAAGTCATCCGTCTCTTCGGCCTCAGCCTCCTCGGGTTTCTCCGCATCCTTCTGCTCCTCAAGGTTGTCCTCCTCCTCCACACCATTCGGCGCCTGCTCCTCTTCCATCTCTCCATCCTGCGGCTTCTCCCCATCCTCCAAATCATCCAAGTTATCCTCCTCCTCTTCCTCCCCATCGCTGATATCAATCTGCATATCATCCGGCAACGCCAGGGTATCCTGCTGCTCCACGTTCTGGTCCTGATTATTCAGTTCCTCCTGCGGCTGAGCATCACCCTCCTGCTCCTCACCCGGCTCACCTTCATCCTCCTCCTCTTCGTCTTCACCCTCCTTCTTCTCCTTCTTCTCCTCATCCTCCTCCTTGGCCGCATCTTCACTTTCCTCCTGTTGCTGCTGTTCCTTCTTCTCCTTTCCAGGTTCCGCAGCAGCCTGATCATCCTCATCCGTCTTCCCGCTGTCATTCTCTCCCTTCTGATCCTTCTCCGCATCCTCCTCGTCCTTACCATCCCACATCTTCTCATCAACGGCGTAGGATCGAGATCATCAACCCCACCGGCCTCCTCGTCCATCTCATCATCTTCCTCGTCGTCACTGCCATCCTTATCCTTCTTGTTCTCCTCCTCTTCCTCTTCCTCCGCCTTCACACTGCCCATGTCGCCCTCCAGATCATCCTCGCCCATGTCGACCGCGTCGGGGTTATCCTCGACGTCATTCTGGTTCTTGTTATTCTGATCCTGGGCAAGCTCCGACAGGTCCTCGTCGTCCTTGATGTCCTTGCTGATATCCTCGGCACCTTCGCCGTCGCCGAGACCGGTGCCGCTCTGCACGTCGCCCGATTCGCCCGACTTCTCCTTGTTCTCCTCCTGCGGGGAGCAGAAGCCTTGCTTGGCGATGATGATGAAGCTGTTGCTGAGGGTGTAGCCCAGACGACAAGTGGAACGGTGCAGGTCGGCGTACTGCGCCAGGTTCTGCTGGCATGTGGCGGCGTACTGCTCGAGCATGGGCAGGACGGCGCGCAGGAGCGCGGTCTCGGCGTCTCTGACTAATGGTTGGGACAGGTCGGAGGCCTTGAGCTGGCGGAGGATGGAGTCGACTTCGGCGGTGATGCGCGGCATGGCGAGGGTGTTGATGGCCTTCTCGAGCCCTTCGCTGTGCGCGAGGAACCAGCCGGCGTCTTCTTGGCTTTGAGGCAAAGTCTTGACGGCTTCGGGGAACTTTTGCAGGGCGACGAGGATGCGGCTGGACAGGTCCAGGGCGAACTTGGCAAACTCGTCGATGGAAGTCTCTTGGAGCTCGTTGGCGATGGCGACGGTTTGCGCGCTGGTCCAGAGCTGGACTTGGCGGATGACGAAAGCCATGTCAGGCCTCTCGAGCAAAAGGGTGTTGATGCTATCGCGGAGACCGTCGAGCTTCTTTTTGGCATCGGCGTGAAGCTGCTCGAGAGCGACGGAGCTGAAACCAGTAGGCAGACGAGGCAGGTTCTCCTGCTTGGTGGCCAGAGTAGCGAACGTATCGAGCCACTTCTGCAACGCGCTGCGAACGTGGTCATTGTTTGTCTCGCCGAGCTTGCCGTGGACGTCAACCATGTAGACAGCGAACTTGAGAATCTGGACAAGCCAACGCAGAACACGGCCGTGGTTCGTCAAGTTCTTCTGGGACTGAATGGCGACCTCGCCGCCGCGGCCGGATACCTCCTTGGCGAAAGTGATGGCCTGGGAAAGAGCACGTTCGGCCTCAGCCGTGCGCGAGAGATACATGCGCTGCTTGAACATGACGTACAGAATACCCTCGAGGAAACCGATAGAGCGATGGACAATCTCGCGGTTGAGATC